CTGGGGTCGATGGAAGAGGGCCGACGATGTCCATTCCCCATTTCATGAATGGCCATGCAGATAGGACCGAATGAAGTTGCTCTCCGGGTTGATGGATCATTGGTACAAACCTTTGACATTTGTCACAATTTCGAACAAATTCCTTCGCGTCTTTGCCCATATCGGTCCAATAATACCCTGCCCTGATTATTTTTTGGACTAATGGATCGGCACCGGAGTGATTCCCACAAGTGCCCTCGTGCACCTCACGTAGGATGTAATCCGTATCTCCTGGACCCAGAAATACTGCTAATGGTCCATCAAATGTCCTTCGGTATAGCGTTCCATCTGAAGCCAACGTGAATCGAGCAGCTTTGGCCCGTAGGGCCCTTGAGTCTTTAGGGTCCCATGGGAGCTTTCCGTTCTTTAAGTATTCGATATACTTATTTCTCCAATCCCAGGTTAAGCTCGTAGAATTTATCTCGGCATGACCTTCTTCGATCACGGACCTCGAGAGTTGAACGACAGTCCCCGAGCTCAAGTCACCTTCCTCGACCGATGATCCCAAATTCGCAAGTGCATCAGCCTCACTGTTTTGCTCTCGTGGAACATGCTGTAAAGTCCATTGTTTGAAATGGTGCAAAGTGACATGTAGTTTGTCCAAATACCTTTGCATTCTATCTTCTCGAACTTCGAAGGTTTTGTTTACCTGACTTACCACCAACAAAGAGTCACATTTGGCTTCGATGACTTCTGCTCCCAAGNCATGTAGTTTGTCCAAATACCTTTGCATTCTATCTTCTCGAACTTCGAAGGTTTTGTTTACCTGACTTACCACCAACAAAGAGTCACATCTGGCTTCGATGACTTCTGCTCCCATGTTTTTAGCTAGCTCGAGACCTGTAATCATGGCCTCATACTCGGCCTCGTTGTTAGTCAATCTGGTAGTTTTAATAGATTGCCTAATAGCGTTACCTGTGGGTGGCTTTAAAACTATTCCCAATCCTGAACCTTATATGTTCGAGGCCCCGTCCATAAAAAGGGTCCATACCCTCGAGGACGTACCTTATTTCAGCAGGAATTCTTTTTCGACTTCGGGTACGAGGGCTGGCATAAAATCGGCCACGAAGTCTGCTAAAATTTGAGACTTGATGGCCGTACGTGGTTGATATTCGATATCGTACCCACTGAGCTCGACGGCCCATTTGGCCAATCGGCCCGATAGTTCGGGTTTGTGCAAAATATTACGAAGTCGGTAAGTTGTTAATACACATATGGGGTGACATTGAAAGTATGGTCGTAACTTTCTAGAGGCGCTTATCAGTGCAAGTGCCAATTTCTCTAAGTGTGGATATCTAGCTTCTGCTTCTCCTAAGGTTCGACTTATGTAATAAATGGGAAATTGCGTACCTTGCTCTTCCCGAACTAGGACACCGCTTACTGCGATTTCTGATACCGCCATGTATAAGAAAAGTTTTTCGTCTGCTTTCGGAGTGTGAAGTAGTGGTGGGCTCGACAGATATTGTTTCAGTTCCTTCAGTGCCTGTTGGCATTCCGGGGTCCAAGCGAAATCGTTCTTCTTTTTGAGTAGGGACAAAAAATTGTGACTTCGATCTGATGATCTCGAAATGAACCGGCCTAGGGCCGCAATTCGTCTTGTTACCCTTTGTACAGTTTTTACACTGTCCACGATGGTGATATCTTTGATAGCCTTGATTTTATCGGGGTTAATCTCGATTCTCCGATTTGATACCATGAAGCATAGGAACTTGCCCGAACCGACCCCGAAAGCATATTTTTCGGGGTTGAGCTTTATGTTGTATTTCCTCAAAATCTTGAACGCTTCCTGCAAATGGGTCAGATGGTCCTCTGCATGCAGAGACTTAACTAGCATGTTATCAATGTAAACTTCCATTGATTTACCTATTTGTTCTTCGAACATTTTATTTACTAGGCGTTGGTAAGTAGCCCCCACATTTTTTAGCCCGAAGGGCATCACATTATAACAATATGTTCCATATTTGGTGACAAATAAAGTTTTTTCTTAGTCTTCCGAGCTCATCTGGATTTGATTATACCCGGATTAGGCATCGAGAAAAGTGAGGATCTCGTGGCCGGCTATGGCATCGATCATGCGATCGATGTTGGGCAGCGAAAAAGAATCTTTGGGGCATGCTTTGTTTAAATCCTTATAGTTCACGCACATTCTAAGTTTGTTTCCTTTTTTAGGCACTACAACTATATTGGCTAACCATTTGGGATATTTCACCTCCCGAATGGACCCTATCTTAAGAAGTTTGGTTACCTCGTCTTTTACGAATGCGTGTTTTACCTCGGACTGGGGGTTTTCTCTTTTGCTTTACCGGTCTGAACTTAGGGTCCAAGCTCAGCCGATGCATCGTTATGTCCGGTGGAATCCCTGTTATATCTAAATGGGACCAGGCAAAACAATCAATGTTATCGATAAGAATTTGAACAAGTTTCTTCCTGAGTTCGGGGCTCAACCCCATTCCCAGGTATACCTTTCGTTCGGGCCAGTGCTCGATTAGTGTGACTTGCTCCAATTCCTTAATTGTTGATTTGGTGACGTCGGAGTCATCGGGAATCGCGAAGGATCGAGGGACCCTTAGATCATCATGTTCTTCGATCGTCTGGTTATCTGCAACTGAGCTATCGCTACTTGTTGGGCTTGTAACATCTCGAAGATCATGCGCAAGCTGACTCCGATTTCTCCCATGTTATGGGTGTCTCGAGCTACGGATCGGGTACCGCCATGAATGCTTTTTTCCGGTTCGGAACTTTGGTTCACTTCAAGAGCCACTTGCGAATTGACATCTAACGGTACTTCGGCTCGAATTTCGGGTACTTCGATTCGAGCTTCAGTGCCATCGTCAAGCGGCCTTCCGGCCCTGGGTACCAAGTTGTTGGTCTCATCTTGAAGGCCGGCTTCGTGGTCGATAGGTAAAGCCATTGCTGATTCGAAGTTGTAGACTGGTGTGTACTGCAGATTTATATCAAACAATCACTGTTATCCTTAGCCCCACGGTGGGCGCCAAACTGTTTACCCAAAAAATCAGATAACGTTAAATTTGTGTATGGTTCTAAGGATATGTGATATAATTTGACACAAATCGTATAGGGAAATAGAAATATGAGTGTTCCTGGCTATGAGAATGGAAATAGCGAGCAAAAGAATGAATATAAGAAGTGATCTTTTGTTACAGTGTATTCTACCTGCCCTCTTACAAGGATCCCCCCTCCTTTTATAATAGAGGGATCCTACTTCATTTATAATAAAATAAAGCGTACAGTGGAGGACCCATGATAAATTGTATCTTCTTTGATTCCCGCCAAGATTCCCTTTCTTAGTGTGGTTGTAACAGCTCTTGTCTGTGTGCTCGACACTGGCTCGGACTCGTTATTGGGTCGAGCCCTCGGTTTTGGCTTGAGTTCGACCTCCGGGGTGGGCGTAGCGCATTTCTGACCTCGAAGCAATGCCTTGCGGATCGATTTGGTCACGGACTCGATAAAAGTATCGAGCCGACTCCTCGATCAGCCTTCGGACTCGAGGCTCGTTTGCACTGCCTTCGGAACTCATCCCAAAATCCCACTCTGGTTGATTATCATTCAAACTCGATCGAACGTAGTAAGGCCGAAATCTATTTCGACCGTATTCAAAGTGAAAGAAAACAACGATTAATTGAAGTTTCGTGATGTCAAAAACCACCACGAATATGGCTTCTTTGTATTCTGATTCAAATTCAAGTCCAATTCCTAGTAAAGCTACAGCATGATCTTTCATTTTCGTAGGGTCAATTATGAACAGACACGCAAAGACAGTAGGTCAGTGGAAGAAAATACATGGATTGCTATGTGTCTAAGTCCGGGTTATACTACTTGTATATTTATATCCAGATCCAGAAACAAATTAAGCTTTAAAACACAAATCAACAAATTACATCCTATGTATCTCGTCAAAGTAAAATAACGCTTAGAAATTACAGATGCTTGTAAATCATCAACAAGATGTTAGCAGACCTTCAAAAATTACCATGCTAAGCATTTTGCAAACCATCACACTCACTCCTAGTTGCGCACGACGCGTCATACAAATATCACAGATCAAATTTAATAGAAGAGTGCTAGAGGCATTGCGACCTGCAAGTAAATAAGTTTTCTTTATACCATGCTCTATAAATCAATGCACAGATTAAATTTCAAACAGATTTTGATATTAGTTTGTTCTTTGAGAGATTCAATAATTAATATCATGACAAGAACTTCAGAAATTCAATTAGCATGGGACACGTACACGCTTGCCAGTCTCGAAATTGGTAGTAAATTCCCAAAAACAGCTTTAAAGCTGAAACAAAAGTGTTAACTTCAGGGATGAATCAAGAATGCACCAATCTCCCAGTGCTATTAACCTATCAAGTTTCTCCTAGGATTCAAAATGACCATTGCTGTAGCATTTTGCATCCTCAACTTAGCCACACTCACCATATTGCAGTGTTATCAAAAGCGAAAAGCGCAAAAAAGCTCTAAGGTTTGTCGGGGCTTTAAGCGCAAAGCGCAAATAAAGTGTGGGCTTTAATGAAGAAAGACTCAAATGGAGAAAAACTACAAATATGTATGTGTAGTCCAAGACTAATATCTATAAGTATGAATACCAAATATATGGACAAAGAAATTGAACAAAATTTATAATAAAGTGAAATATCAATTGTTTAGTGTCGCCTCTTCCGGATTACGCTCGTTAGCAAGGAAAAGTATGCCTTAGAGCCTTGATGACAACACTGAAGCGCCCATTAAGAGAGGCGAAATGCTCAATATGTTTGGAGCCTCGCTTCGGGGCTTAAGTGCGCTTTAAGCACGCGTTTGATAACACTGCCATATTGTTGAAGGAAGATCAGACTGGTGGTACTTGAAGCTAACACATAGTTAATTTCAGCGACAATTTTTAAAAATTTCATACCACAAGCATGTCTATGGCCTATATCCCAACCCCAGGAAATTAATCAGAAAGGTTCAAATGTTCTTCATCCATAAGCAAAGACAGTTGCTTGCATTCAGACCTTGAATGATCCCAGCAGTTGTAGACTGAATACTTCTCTCATAGACGCCCTGAGTTTTTACAGCATCAGAGTTTAATTAACGACATAAAATGCTAATGTAGAATGAAAATCCTAACAGAATTACTAAAGAGGAATCAAGAACAGCAGAAAAAGAAGAAGTCCTAAGACGCAGATTCTAATGGTGAAGCAACAAATCCTAAACATAAAATCATTAGCAGAGTGAGGGGAATATTACTCTCCGGGACCAGGTCTTACACAAGGCCTCCAAACTGTTTCTCTTCCTATATCCATTAAAGCAATCCCCTTGGCCACCAAATCACTTCTAATCTGATCGCTTCGTGCAAACTCCTTATTTTTCCTTGCCAGAGCTCTTTCCTCTATTGCACGCGAGATATCTTCCTCCGTCAACTCTGCTCTTTTCAATGCTCTCTCTTTAATCTGTTGCAAAACCTCAGCATAAGTTGAACGAGCAGCGAGCAATCCAAGTACATCCAACACCGCCTTAACTTCTTTCTCCAGCTCAGTTAGGGACAAAAACAACTGTTCTTGGCGCTGTTGCATTTGCCTTTTCTTCAGCATGTTCAAATAACTATTCATAAGTCCAAGGGCTTCCTGAAGTGCAGCATTTAAAATTGTAGGTGTATGCAAATCATCCGCAAGTTTTGTCTCCAACTCATTACGCAGCTTCTTGATGCATTTTTCTGCCTCAGAGCTAACACGCGCCACGTCCCTAATTGTTTCATCAGTTCTTAATTGTTGGAAAACTGATGACAATAAGGCTTCTTCAGTATCACGTAAGGTCTGATAAATGTAGAACACAGAATCTGAAGCAATTTCAATCTGTGATATTGAGTAATTAACATCAGACCGGTAGTGAGTCCCCAATAAGAAGTACCTCAATGCAAGGGGATGGTACAATCGAGTAACATCACGTATAGTGAAGAAATTCCCTAATGATTTCGACATCTTCTCACCATCTCTGTCCTTAACAAAACCATTATGCATCCAATAACTAACATTACTCTCCGGGCAAGCCGCGCAACTTTGAGCAATCTCATTTTCATGGTGAGGAAATTTCAAGTCCATTCCACCACCATGTATATCAAACGAATGTGTTAAATAGTGCGCGCTCATTGCGCTGCACTCAATATGCCAACCCGGTCTTCCTGGACCCCAGGGGCTATCCCAATGCGGTTCACCAGATTTTGCAGCTTTCCACAAGGCAAAATCAGCAGTGTTTCGCTTTCTTAAATCAACTTCACCTTTTCTTGCTCCAGCGCGATTGTCTTCTAATTTTCTTCCACCAGATAATAATCTACCGTACTCTGGAAAACTATCGACCGAGAAATAAACATCTCCATCAATTGTGTATCCATATCCATTAGAAATTATGTTAGCAATCATATCCTTAATTTGGTCCATATGCTCAGTTACACGCGGCTGATGAGTCGGTGGGAGGACTTGGAGATCATCCATGTCTTTTAGAAACTCTTGGCTGAATTGACAACTCAGAGCAATTGGATCATGATTTTCTTCACGTTTTTTAGCCTCATTTATTATTTTATCATCTATATCAGTGAAGTTGCGGACGTATACGACATCGTATCCTAAGTATTTTAGATACCGGTAGAGAACGTCGAAGGCTACATATGCGCGGGCATGGCCGATGTGACTGGAGGTGTAAGGCGTAACGCCACAGACGTACATTCTAACTTTTCCAGGTTCCTTCGATTTGAATACCTCCTTCTGTTTCGTCATAGTATTGTATAGCTTTAATTCCATCGCCACGTTCTCCTCCGCCATTCTGATCGACGGCAAAATTGTTCGTTGATTGAATTGGCTGAGAGTATATTAGTGGGTGGCGCCGTGGCGGTGCGGTAGCCTGTTACGTTTGTGATTTAAAAAAGAACCCTAATCCTATACCTATAGGGTTTGGGTTTATAATCAAACCATACCATAATCGTAATTGGGTTAGGGGTTACACGGTTCAAAATACGAACATTAATTGGTCAACCTAATAAAAGGGAAAGCAATTTTCCATGGTGTAAAAATATATCTTTATACGTGCATAAACTCCTTTCCTTTCTATATTTCTTCTAAAGTTTGTGGTAGTTTCCACCGTTCCTTTTCGAAATCGAAGCAGAATTGTATTTTTGAAATAGTTTTCATTATTGTAAATCTAAATCGATATTTAAATTAAAATTCTCAGTATCGATCCCATCTGATTCAAATATTTATTATGTTCCAAACTTCATATTCTCTTACTAACAACTTGTTTGGATGGTTGTTACATGTTGTATTTTGTACCATATTATCACTTTAAATACAATGTTTGTTTTGACTGTTACTTAAATTTTATTGTATCGTATCGTTAAATTCGTTGTTACGTAACGATGAAAAGTGTCACTTTATGTAACGACGGATTTGGTGCGATGGCCTCGTTACCTTGCTTTTTTCTCTCATTTTGCCTTCTTTATAATTAAATAATCATATTTTATCCTTTACCATATTTTTTTATATAATAATTCTACTTCGTATCCAATTTTTTCTTAGTAATATTACAAGTTTATTATTCATATTTTTGTACGTGATATCATGAAACGACGGCAAACGATACAATCTATCCAAATATTGTATTCATCAAACAATACAACACAATACAGTATAATGCAATACGATACATTATGAAACGATATGTAACAACCATTCAAACAAGTTGTAAAGTAGTTTCTCTCATTATAGTTTAAGCTTTCTTTTTCTTTTTTGTGCAAGGGGATACAATGTCACTGATTTTTGTCCAACAGGTTAAGAAATACTCCGATATAGGAGTATAATATGGTAAATATATTGATCATGATTTATTTGAAAGATTCATATCAATATGGTATGTTTTACTTGTTATATTCATTGTACAGTTCTAGAACTGGAGCCAAGGGGTTATTAAAGTTATTTAAATCTGAAGAACTCCAAAGAAGGCAACTAAATGATTCGCGGTAAATTACCAATAGTCATTGTTAGAAGTAAATATTACTTAGTTCCAGAAAAAATTATTTAGTTAATATAATCGAAGCGAAATAATAAATAAAATCTAATAAATATCTTACAACTTGCAAACCGAAAAAAATTCATCTATTTTTTTTCCAAAAAGATTAAATAAATCTATCATGAATTTAAGTTATATACACTGACAATATAAATATTTTTTACACAATTAATGTAATGTAACCTATTAAAGACATTTATTATTATTTTATCATGAAATTTTATTACCTTATATATAAATGAATTATGGAAATATACTATACACGGTCAGTACATCTATCTATACCTATCTATACAAGCACGAGTGCCCTTAGCGAAATGTTGTTCGTCTATTTTACCCTTAAAAATATAGTTCACATAGGACAACATTATCATTTAATTATTCTCCTAATATATTAGGATTTCAAAAACAATAAAATTTTTACTCATTCCTTATTTGAACTAGATAGAAAGTCTTAATATTTAGAATTTTAATATGTAAGAGCTTTATTCCTCGTAGGTAACTTTAATTTGCTAAACGCATAGTAGTGAGATTGTTGCTTCTTTCCAAGTTTGTTTTTTTTCCTTTTCTTACTCTGTTATAGTTAATTTCAATCGTTTTAAACCAACTTAATTAAATTATCAATAAATTTGTTAGTTAAAAATTAATATCATTATTATAACCAGTAAATATATAAAATTTACCACATACTCATTAGTTTTATGTCATCTATGCAGTTAAATTTGAGTATCGTATTCCTAATCATGCAGAAATTAATAATTATACTTAAGTTAGAACAATACATCTATAAAGATTTAAGACATTGGTGATCGTGATATGGATTTAAGTTGTATAATATTCATATTCTTTTTTATAATATCAGTAAAATGTGACTCGTGATACTTATTAAAATATGTAGTAAAGTATTCTCTTTAAATTTTATTAAATCAAACTTACTATAAATTGATCTATATATCAAGGAAATTATTAAGATAGAAAAATCAACATATTTGTTTATTTCACTTTGAACATCTCTTTCAACCCTTCATTTTTTCTTCTTCTTTAAATAAGTTTACGTTTTATTAATTAGGTGATAATAGTTATCTTTATGAAGCCACGATAGAGAGTTATTTTATTTTACAAAAAAGATAATTTTAAATTGTGATGATAAATAAGTTTCTCGAATAGTAAATATTTGTTTTAAAAATATTTTTTTTGTTGGTAATGTTAGATTCTCAAACAAGCTTCTTCTAAGCTAATACTTCAAACATACTTTAAGTTATTCTATCTTAATTATTCAAGGATTGTGTATTCTTGTTGAAACTGAAAAGGAAGCATAATAGCCTGTGAAATTAAAGTGATAAATTTATGAAACTGAAACAAATTCTAAGATGAATATATCAAAGGATGATTAAGGACTTCTATATGATAATTTTCTTTATTGAATTAGCTATATAAGATCAATATTCATCTTTTTCTGCTGATTTGACTGGACTTGGTCAAATCAGCAGAAAAGGATATACTTACTCCTGGTGCAATAAGAGAGGCAAAGGACAAAATATATAGTTTGATTGATTGGGCATTTGGTAATGATCTCGGGTGTATGAGGTATGAAAAACTGGAAGCATTCTACCATCATCCGGAATACTTAGATCACTCACCAATCATCAGAATAGGTGTGGCCAAACAGAAATTGCCTAGGCCATTGTCACGACCCGAAATTTTTCACCGACGGGACCGTGATGGCGCCTAACATTTCACTTACTGGGCAAGCCAACGTTAGAGAATCATTTACCAATTCCTTATTTCCGTTCAGTAATTAGCAATAATTAACTACGATAAAATATAACAAGTACGGAATATCATAAATCTGAATTAACTACTACCACCCGGATCTGGAGTCACAATTCACGAGCATTCTAGAACTTACTCCAAGTAATAGTCTGAAAGAAATACAACTGTCTGAATGAAAGAAAACAGTAGGACATAAAAAGATAGACGGGGACTTCAAGGTCTGTGAACGCCGACAGATCTTCCTTGAGTCTCCGGACAGCGGACCAATAGTAAATCTCGATCAACCTGAGCCGGTATCAAAATCTACACAGAAAGTGCAGAGTACAGCATCAGTACAACCGACCCCATGTACTGGTAAGTGTCGAGCCTAACCTCGATGAAATAGTGACGAGGCTAAGGCAAGGCACCTACAATCAACCTGTACAATTTAACAGTGTATACGCAAATAACAGGAATGAAGAACTAAACAGAAAATGCCGGGAGGGAAGACATACTGAGGGGAATACAAGATAAAGAACTACAACATAATGATCACCGGAGCAGTCAATATACCATGAATCAACAGGAATATCGAATACAGTAAAGAAGAATGCACGGCATCACCCTTCGTGCTTTTACTCTCAATCTCACCATAAAATTAATAGAAACGGCACGGCATCACCCTTCGTGCATTAACTCTCATATCATGGCACGACATCACCCTTCGTGCATTAACACTCACAATATGGCACGGCATCACCCTTCGTGCATTAACACTCACAATATGGCACGACATCACCCTTCGTGCATTAGCACTCATAATATGGCACGACATCACCCTTCGTGCATTAACACTCACAATATGGCACGACATCACCCTTCGTGCATTAATACTCACAATATGGCACGGCATCACCCTTCGTGCATTAATACTCACAATATGGCACGGCATCACCCTTCGTGCATTAACACTCTCCCTTACCATAATGCAATGCATAAATAACAACAGAGAGATAGAATAACAAGTACAAACCTTACTTCAACATTTGGTTCCATAATATCAATATTAACTTTGAAATAAAAACTCAATTATCACCAGAAAATTTCGTAAACATGATAAGAACGATAATTTAAACAACACTAGTATAACACGTAGCAATTTGGCATAGGAATGTGACAATATCAGAAAAACATAGAAAAATATGGAAAAACAGGTAAATTGGCAGCGCATAGGTACTCGTCACCTCACATATACGCCGCTCACATGAATTTCACTTAGCAAATAATCTACGGTTCCTAATTCCCTCAAGTCAGGGTTAGACATAACACTTACCTCGCTCCGAAGGCCACTTAATTCTCAATCACAGCTTTTTCTTTGGAATTCACCTCCAAACCACTCGTATCTATTCAAAAATGACTCAATAATATCAAATATTGCTAAAGGAATCAATTATATTGCATAAATTAAATTTCTCAAATTTTTCTCCAAAAAGTCAAAAAAATAACCACGGGCCCACTTGGTCAAAACACGAGGTTCGAACCAAAATCCTTTTACCCATTCACCTCCGAGCCCGAATATGTAATTAGTTTTGAAATCCGACCTCAAATTGAGGTCTAAATTCCCAAATTCCCGAAATCTCTATTTTCTACCCTAACCCCTAATTCTACCATGAAAGCTCTAGATTTTAGGTTGAAAATTCAAGAAATGTAATGGATAATTGAAAGAAAATGGTTTAGAATCACTTACCAATAATTTGGGGAAGGAATGACTTTTGAAAAATCGCCCCTCACCGTTTGGTTTTTGAGAAAAATGAGTTTTTTGGCAAAAATCCCGTTTTGGATTCTGTTAAATGCTGGGCGATAGTGTTCATCGCGTTCGCGAGAGCACTGTCGCATTCGCGAAAGGTACTGGCTTCCAAGACTTTGCGTTCGTTAGGCCCAGCTCGCATTTGCGATGATCACTCCCCTTTGGCCTTCGCGTTCGCGAGGAATATCTCGCGTTCGCACTGAAGGAATGACCCCCCCACCCCCCACCCCAGGTCCCCACATGCTTCGCGTTCGCATTGATCCGGTCGCGTTCGTGAAGGATAAATCCCCCATCACTTCGCGTTCACTTCCAGGCCTTCGCGTTCGCGAAGAAGAAGTCTCAGCCTCATCAGATTACTCTTCGCGTTCGCGAGAGGACCTTCGCGAACGCGAAGAAGGATATGAC